ATACATTTTAAGAATGGCGTTTATCTTTTTTGAGAATGAGTTCTTATTTTATTTTATTTATTGGGGTCTACAACAGATGATACAAATATTTGTGTCAGTAAATGTGTGGCAGGGGTGTTTGTGAAAATAACGGGGACAGAGCTGCTGTCAGACGAACAGCTGTGCGGCGTCATCACAAACGGACGTCGCTTCACGTGACGCTCCGAAGGAAAGGACGTCCCATTGCTCTTAAAACTCATTTCCCTGCTTCTCGTGGTTTCCTTGCGTCCCTCCACGCTTCCCTGGAGGGAGGGACTAAACACAGGGAAACGACGCAAGTGAGGGAAGCAAGGATTTCATTTAACCGACCTGAGACGGGGCCACAGTCTCCTCGGTTAGAGCTCCTCCAGAGAGCCTCCTCGATGCTCGGTCCTCGAAGTGCATTTAGAGAAATGAGATGTCCTTAAAAATGGCGCGCTGAAATTCATTTCTGGGTCACTACCGGAGGACCGAGGAGTCGAGGAGTCGAGGAGTCGAGGAGGGGAAATTTGAGTATTGAGAAACCTCTTCTGTCCGTTCTTTGTTGTCTGGTTGGTGTGTGTCCGGGCCTTTACATCCAATACAATAAAATAACGTACCTTCATATTACTGAGCCAACGTGTAGACTTAATAACTTCTTGGGGTGCATGTTTGGCATGTGATAAGTGAAGGCAGGAGAGAAAGTAAACTGTCTTAATCTGATGCACATACACGGTTAACACCCTGTAGGCCTAGTTCATACTGCAGACACTGAACATTAGAAAGAGTCCCATATTTAGCATATTATTCCACTGAAGATTTTTAACCTGAAATGTACCTGGAGCTGCAGTGTTTGTTGTGTCCACAAGGGGGCAGCAGAGTCCCTCATATGTTTTACAAAGCAGCTTCGCAAATCCAAAGGAAAATCCTGTCTCTTCTCTTAGCCTTGCTGTCTCTTCTTTGTTTTTCTTTAGAACACAATACTGCACGCTTTGTTGTATTAACTATTTATTAAGGATTAGAAACATGAAAAACATACCAAAAGCCTGTAAAACATGAAATAATCGTACACACTGAATAGCAAAAGACGTATACAAAACATTGATAATACTAAGGCTAAAGTAGTTAACCTCTATAAAACCTTAATGAACAAATTCCTCAGCAGTCACTGAGGTTGGCACCATGCTAGCAGAGCATTTTCACATGTAATGGTTCATATTGTGCTTGTGCGAGCAGACACCTGAGCTTTGAGACAATGTTATACACATGAAAGTTGGAATGTTTGGCTGCTGGTGTTTCGCCGTTTGTATGTGTGCATCATGTCTGCAGTTTGAGAGAGTGTGATGAGTTGTCCCAGTTCTTGTTTTCTGGCTCCAAAACCAGGTGATGTGCTCCTCCTCTGGATTTGAATGTGCAGAGGCAAGGTGGATGATAAATTGATGGTTAATCTATCATTATAAAAAGTTAGAGTCATGGTGGACACATGGCTGGATAGATTAGACTATGATGTTTGTGCGTGGATGGAGGCTCCGTGGAGGTCAGGACAGAACAGGCAGAGATCTGGTGCTGACCGGGCTGCACTTCACCCTGGATGGGGATGGAGAAGGCTGGGTGAGGTGGGGAGAGGAGGGGGAAGGATGGAGGTGTCCACCGTGGTGCTCTCTCCCTGTCCCAGAGCGCTCAGAGCCCAGGGCCTGAGACCGACCTCTGGGCCTGCGTAACTCAGGTGGGGTGGAGGAGGAGGAGGAGGGGGGGAAGCTAGTGTACCGGGAGGGGGAGTGATGGGAGGGTGGATGGCAGGAACTTGTAGCAGAATGACGGCTGGGTGAGGGGTGACGTCCGGGTGAGGGGTGACGTCCGGGTGAGGAGTGCCTCCCAGACAAGGCTTCGCGGCTGCTGTGTGAGTGCTCCCTGCTGTGTTTGGGTGATTTATGCACCTTGGGCGTCTTGGGTGTTTTGGGCGATTTGGGCATGGGGTGAGAGGAGGAGTATGAGTTGCCGCTCTGTGTGGGAGGGGCGTGGATGGGAGAGGTGGAGTCTTCACTGTTGGGAACCTTGTAGAGGAAGACGTCATATTGAAGGGGCGAGCCGGTCTCTGAGTGGAGCTTGGCCTCTTTGGGGAGGAGCACCTCCAGGCCAATTGTGACTCCATCCTGATGTGGAAATATGGTAAGTAGGATGCAACAATGTAGGAACAGTCACACAGGCAGAAATAATGAAATTCACATTTATAAAGTAGCTTTCGTTCATTTGAAATAGCTGTAATAAAGGCACGGGTGAATTAGGCATGGTATTAGAATAGTAATATAGGTGTGGATGAATTTTGACACACTAAACCCATTGGCACATGCAAATTGACTCAAATCTGCAACAATTGATCTTTTTAGCCACTTGGGGGCAGTGGAAACAAGTGAACACATTACTGATATGAAAGCACCTTTTCAGTTGAGATGAAAACAGTTGCCTATACATGTATATGGTATATACACATCCAGCACATATGGAGCAACATTAGCATTCATTTGAAGAAATTGTGTCAGATATTACCTATCCTATAAGCTCAGTTTTTTCATTTAAATCAAAACCCAGCCTGTTCTGAGTGGAAGAATAGAAAGGTTAAATTGTAAGCTCTTGTGGTAGCTTTCTTCATTTCAAAGAGCTGTCCGTGGTGCTGAATGAGCACACGGTAAACATTGTGTGGTGTAATCTGTGAGCAGCCTACTGTAGCACAAAAGCAGGGTCAGCGGTGCATTGAGTTATTATTAGCAGGGGAGCAGTTGGGTAGCAGTTAGCTTCATAATGAGCAGACATGCAGAAAAAGAGAGAAAGGGAAAGTAGAGCTCACAGCAAAACACAGGGACAAGCTAGATAAAATTAAAAATATTTATTCCAACAACCTTGAATAACAATCCTCCATGTATACCAAAAAAAGTACAAAAGAACCTCAAGTACATTAAATATTATAAATCACATTGAAATCCAAGACACGCGTGTGTTATATATGTATATAGATTTAAAATATCAACTCCAAGCAATTACTTTGACCTCATGAAATCTAAAAGTATCCACCTATAAGCAATGTCAAACACGAATATTTCGCAAGTACAGATTCACTTGATTTCCACTTACTTCTTTTGCAAATATTACTTTTTTCAGACACTTTTTGTCGATAACAACAATGCATGCGGGCAGAGAGAGACAGTAAGGCGGGGCAGGCAGAGGCGAGGGGAGGGCTTGGGTAAACAGGAGAGGAAACAATGAGGGAGCGAGAGTTCATTGGTCAAAGACCAAGGCAGGGCATCAGTAGAGAGGAATGTCAGTCATTAGTTGGTCCAAGCCAGAGATTTTAGTCCAGCGCAAGAGGCAAAAGAGGAAAGAAAGGAGGCGCCCGCGGCGCCACTATGTGAACAGCATTGGCATAGCAGCCTTGTAAACAGGAATGTTGTGCTTCTCAAGGTGTATTCCAAAATGCATGTGCTTTTGTTTTACATTGTGCCTGATTGGACTGGTTTTAAATACATATAATGCACTTTACCACAATATATAAGAATTCTATCCATGCACTTGTGTGTGCTTTAAATATTTTGGTCGGATTTTCCGGCAGCACACTTTGAAAGATGCTGATATTATACTAGGTTGTTCTGCAGCGAGTTTACCTCTGCGTTTTCCTCTGTGTTGTTAGGGGTGTGGCCCGGGTCGTGGGCAACAGAGGTCGGACGGTTGTTCTCGTGTTTGGGGGAGTGAGAGTTGAGGATGTTCATTGAACCCTCTTCCTTGGCTTGGGCGGACTTCGCTGGGTCTTCCTGCTTCTGAGGGTCATCCTGGGGGGAGAGTTTATTACTTTTCATAAACACTCACCCACAAACACATCTTAATATGTTCACACCCAGACACATGGGGCACAGGTAATTAGGCAGCAAGATTCATGTGCGTCAGCTCTTCGTGATCTTATCTTCCCTTCTTGCATCTCTCTTGTGTTTCACATTTGTATTTATGCCATGAAGATTCAGGTAGTATTTCTTGTTCAATTCGCTGGACTAGATAGTCAATTAACAGGAAAACCCACAGTTGTGCGGATATACTGTGTGCAACATTACCTGCACAAAACAGAAGGATTGCATGAGAATAAGAAGTAAGCTCCTGACAAAAAGGGTCATCGTCTTTTATTTTTAAAGCACTTTTAAATAGCTAAAACGGTTTGAATGTGCTAAAAAATAAGACTGAAATTAAATGTACTTAAAACATGCAATAAAGTCATGTCCAAAGGAAAAATCTCCACAGAAGCTCATCCCCATACTAAAGATGATACTGTGTTCGGACTGAACCTGCACCTATAATGCTAAGACCTTTATTAAAATGAACCAATCATGTCTCAGCATCTGAAAAGATACCAATCGGATCTCTGACATTAAAGAAACTGCATTGCAGACCATGTGTCTGCAGGGGCTTTTTAGCCTCTAGACCTGACATTTAGAGCATCTGGGAGTCACGGTCACTCATTTTTACCCACAGCACTGAAATGCCAGCAGAGCTCAGAGAGTACGCTAGTAATAAACAAGCAAGGCACAGTTTGATCTCGTCATTAAGGCCAACCAAGTAGGGCTAGGACTAAAAATGAACACATGATTTCAAAAAAATCCATCACTGTGTACTTGTGTTAGTGCTCTTTTTCAGAGATCTATGTTTGTATGACTACACAACCGGTGTCTGTGTATGTCTGCATGTGTCAGTTTGTAAAAGAGCAAGCCATCGATTGATTAGCATGTCAGACATCTGAAGGTCATGGGCACATCAGGCAGAAAGTAGGGCACCATTGATCAGTCACAGCGGCTACTGATGGACACAACTCACTAAACGCCCTTTCACACCAGAGACAACAAGCTAAAAGGCTTGAACTCATGGGGGCAACATTTCTTTGATCTGTTGATCTTGTCAACTTTATATGCTGTTTATATATATTCTGATTATATCTATACAATCTCCATTGTTTATTGAGATGAAGAATGTAACCACGCATTACTGACCCTATACATTGGCTTAGTGAACCTGTAAGCAAGTGTGATTGAGGAACAGGGGCACACAAATCTTCCCCACAAACACAGAGACATAGATGGAAAATAACTCATCAATGTGTACACACACACACACACACACACACACACACACACACACACACACACACACACACACACACACACACACACACACACACACACACACACACACACACACACACACAAAGCAGCTGCTACAGTAGCACTAAATGCACGGCCATGGGAAAAGAATTGGGTGGAAAATGCAAAATGCAGCACAGGGACCCTAAAATGGCTGTCTGAGCTTCATGGGCATAGGAGCAAAGCCAGCAGATAAAACAAAATGGAGGCCAGGCTTTCTCATCGAGTTACTCAGGAAGCTGCAGGGGTGCACAGGTAAGAGAGGCAGCTAATGTGGGAACTTGCTATTTAATCACACAGCTGTGACAACATAATAACTCTGAACAACTAGTTGCAGGACTCATTGGGAGGAGGTGATAAATCATTTTAACTTACAGTGCACGTGGAAGGCAGCTGATATCAGATGCAGAGAGAGTTTGTGGAAAGGATGTTTGCAGTTAATGGAAAAATGTGGCCTCTAGAGGTTGCACAGTGGGTAGGATCAAACAAAGCCAGAAAGGGGAAATTGCTTTGGGGCAATGCGGTCATTTCTGCTATGCTTACCTGCAAGTTATTATAGGGGTATCTGGGTTTATATTCCCAGGTATAGCTGGCTGTTGATGGCCTCTGAGGGGATTGGTGAGCGTGAAAAACATTAAATACACAAATACTGTACATTCAAAATTCCCAATGGGAATCCCAATGACAAGTAACTGATTCAACAGGGCGTTAAGGGGATTCAATGTGTGCATAACACTAAAAGCTTATTTGGACAAGAAAGATGGCCATGCGCAGAGACAATCAGACAAACTAAGACATGTACAAAGAAAATGTTAGCGGGAAGACACAAAACATGGGAGATGACATCATGAATACATTTTAGATGAAGATGGGACTGCAAAGTTAGTCTAGGATGAAAGGAGAGACAAAGGTGAGTAAACATGAGGAGAGTAAGGGCGTACCTGACAGATAATGTTGTCATAGTACGCCAGGTTGTGAGTGTGAGCTTGGGGAGCAAGCGGAGGGGTGTCGCACAGTTTCCTTACGTTTGGCTGCGAGCCGTCGGCCATGGTGGACACGGAGAGGCCGTCTGTCTGTGGCTCGCTGCTCTGTGGGCGGTATTTACTGCAGCAGGGCAAGAGAGAGACATTTGTGTCATTAATATTACCATTTAGTATGTGTTTTCTGTGCATTTGTATCTTTCCATGTCCAGGTTTTCCCTATGTTGCTCTGTACAGCGTGAATCTGGGGTCAAAACCTCAAAATATATATTATCTCAGTCTAAAAACATTTTTTTTTAGTGGAAAACAATCAAGAGACAATGACAATTAGATAAACTTTAGAAACACTTACATTACGGCTTATGATATGATATATAATATTATTTGATTTGATTCATTATGTCATAGATTGAACTCCATTCTCACCTCCCAGTCACACACCTGCGTTTGCGAAGGCGTTTGTTCTCGTTCTTGAGACGGTGCAGCTTCTTGGCAAAGCACACAATGATCATGAAGAGGAAGATGAGTACCACTGAAGCCACGCCCACCAGCACGCACATCACCTGGAACTCTGTGATCGCCCAATCACAGCGTGTGCCTTTGTTCCAGATGTACTCCTGCACATTGCACCTGGATGCAAAGTAGCAATATGTTTTGATCATCAATGTAAGACTTTACGGTCAGAAAACAAGCAGTAAATAACGACCCTTCCCTGACCTGCTGTAAATAAAAGGCCAAAAGTCAAGAGATTTAACCAGAGTGTGTGTCTGCACTACCATGTTTACCATATTTATAGCCACATCATGTAAGCCAACGTAAGAATGTAAAATGGTAGCCTGTCCAGAAAAGCAGGGATTCGGCCTGCAGCCAACCCCTAATGAGATCAAAGGCTAAGGATAAGTGTGTGTAAGAGTGTGTGTTTCTTGTCCATATTCCTGTCTTACGCTGTCCAATTGCATGCAAGTGTTTGTGTCTTGGAAGTGTGTTAGCATGAGTGAGTGTGTGAGCTGTTGCTCAGCAGGTATGATGACATGACCAACAGTTTACCACCATGCTTACACTGAGTCTACTGGATAACAGATGGTGCTATCAAGGCGTAGTGTATGTGCATGTGGAGCATGTGTGTTCTTCCCTGACCTTACTTTATTTTCGTTATACGATCTATGTGTGCATATCGTCTGTGTCTACATCAACTGTCACTAGCCAATGAGCAAATGCACACACACACACACACACACACACACACACACACACACACACACACACACACACACACACACTCGTCTTTTACCACCCGTTACCCGCCTTCTAAACTGAGCTAATCCTTTAGCAGCCCTGCTGTGATCTTGACGAAACATTGACACATTAAGCCAAACTTCTATCCAAATGTGTGTTTGTGTTTTCAGTGTCTGTACGCTTGTTAGAAGTGTCGTAAATATTTTCTTTTGTGCCGGAGTGGGAAATCATCCCAACAAGATAATTAAAGAGTGGAATATTTGTAGCGCCGAACAACCCCTAAAAGCCCCTGCTGCCTATGCTGTAAAGCTTAAACTGCAAATGCTTGAAGGTATTTTCTCATTCATTATTACTAAATATGAATATAAAATGTAAGACTGTGTCATCATTTCTACAATTTACAGAAGTACGAACAAAAAACAAGTGTATGCCTTTTTTCTCACCTGCAGAAAGCTCCCATTCCTGCCACCACGGTGCAAACTCCTCCATTGAGGCAGAAATTGGGTTCAATGTCACACTGAGACACACAGACTCCAGGTCCAGAGCGCACATAGCCCAGCCTGCAGCCGTCGGCCCCCATGGCGCCCCCTAACCCTAACCCATCACCTGTGTCTGGCGCTGGCATGGAGGGAGCTGGTATGGAGGGCTCCACGTCAGACCTCACGTTGTCAGGAACAGCAGGAGAACCAGCCAGGAGCGGATTTTCATCTTCCATGTCAGGCGGGGGTGAAGGGGTGGGCTCAGGTTCTGGGGTGGCATCCAGGGCTGAGGGGTCGTTGTCAGGGGAAAGGTAGTCGTAAAAGTCAGAAAGCGTCCAGGCAGTTGGGTCTCCTCCTTTTTGCTTCTGGGGTTGAGGGGCTTTGGCCCAGTCCAGATCACCGTCAGCGGGCACACCGTCAGGGGCAGGGCTGTGAAACTCCACGGTGATGACTTCATCAGACATGGGGTTTCCGGGCTGGTCCGGCCCCGCGCCTCCGGCAGTCAGCTCCTCCCCCACAGGCGGGTCTTCATCAACAACGTCTAGGTGGGCATGTTTATGAGAATGGTGATGTTTGGTGGAGCTGACTGGGAGTTTAGCCCCGAGGCCGATCAGGTGGTCCCTCTCTGCTGAGTCATCACTGAGCACCATCCGGGCGTTCAAGGCCTCCTTGTTGACAGATGATTGGTTGTGGTGATGATGGTGCCTTGACAGAGAATGCCTCCCTGTCAATCAGACAAAAAAAGACATTAAAGAAGCAATTTTAAGAGTTGGACTTCCATTAAGTTGGGGAATCATACGAGTAGTACACAATGAATGAAACCAGAGGCTCGGGTGTCAATCCTCGGTCAAGCTGCAGAAATGCTTTAGTTCCAATCTTTTTATCAGACCCTATCTACCTGATTAGTTCCCTTGTGTTTAAAGAAAGCGTCTCTTGAGATTTGAACTTGAGATAAGAAAACTAATTTCCCAAAATGAACCAGAACTGAGGCTTTTCGAGGGATATGCAGTACTCCACCTGACATGTAAAGTGACTTTAAAGTATAAAATAACATCATTTTATTAACATAATCTTATTGCATTGTAGGAGTTTGTCTGTTGTTTTCTGTTATCTTATTTAAATGTAGATGACAAAAGGGTAAACAAAGGCTTGTACACACCCAAAGACACACATTATATGTTACTTTTTTTCCAGTTGGCGCTAATCCCAGTGTACTGACTATATTTTGTTTAATAAAGATTGTAGCCCAAGGATGAGGCATTAATGATTTAAATGGATCCCTAAAGTATAGTGAAAGAGGCCTGAGGCTAGTTTTCTAAGAAAACGCTATTATGTCATATATCTTTGCGTTCTCAGAAGAGATCTGATTTGCTGAAACGTGCGGCTTAGCAAAGAAAGCGTTGTGGTTCACGCTTTAGCGCTAAGTGATTAATTGTCAAAGAAATCAGAACAAGCGCTGAAGACTGCTGTGTAATCAGACTGTAGCGATGTAGGATTAAGCACATTGAGTGACTAATGTGTTCTGGTGACCGAGACTAGGCGAGGATTAGATTAGGATTTAGAGCAATAGGTTAGAGGCTGAATGGTCAGGAACTTCTCTTGCACTTGGAAATCTGCAGAGAAAGACCTCATTCAAACCTACAGATCTGTTTAAATTCAAGTGGAGAAGCCAAGTTTCCAAAAATACCACACCATACTTTTTGGGAACAACGTGTCTAGAAAAAAACACGTCATCTTAGGTTCGAATATTCAATATGACTTTAATTGAGAGTGAAAAAGAGTTGTACGGTGATAGAGATACTGTCAGGAAATGTAGAATAAATTGAATATAAAGGTTAATAATTCAATGTTTTGGAGAATACACAAATTCTCTTTCTTGCCAAGACTTAGATCGGAAAATGATAGCACTCTCATGTGAAGACACAACCAGCAGCCAGTAAGCTTACACTGGAAACCAAGAGAACCAGCTCAGGCTCTGTCCAAAGGCAACAAAATCCACATTTCCAGCACATTAAGCTATTACTTACTTGGAAAGAGCTGGCCTAGCTTTTTTCCAAGGATGTTTGCTTAGCTTAACCAACTGGCTGCTGCCGGTAGTTTCATATTATCGTAGAAAACGTTAGAGCACTATAAATCCTCTCAACTGAATCTTGGAAAGAGAGCAAATATATACATATCCCAAAATGTCAAACTATATACTCGAGGGGAATGGGGAATTGGAGAGAAGGAAAGAAAGAAAGAAAGAAAGAAGACCCTTCTGTAACACATTTTAGGGAATGTTCCCACATTCTACTGAATTTCAAGAAGCCACTTCTTAAAACTTTTACTGCAAGCGGCTTCTTTCCCACCGCCACCCTGAACTCACTCCGTCCAATCAGATCCCTGCTTCCAGTGTCTGGCACTTCATTCAGTGCTAATACTAAAACCATCTGAACGTGCCTTGAGTCACGAAGACAAGTGGTGGCTGAGGAACCATGAGATCCACCTCACACACACACACAGACACACAGACACACACACTGTAGTTGCCATGGTGAGATGTAAAGAGGTGCCATGTTGAAAGGAAGGAGTGGAGCGAGGGAGTTGCAGTGGAGACAGAGAACCCAGTGTTTGTGCTTTCTCTCTCTTGTTTTTCAATCAATCAGCCAGCCAGCAAGTGTTATATGCCAACTCCATCTCTGGGAAAAACCGAGCTGGAATGAGCTCGAATGCTTCCCAGTTTGTGAAAGAGATAGACATGCTCCACCAGCTCAAACTGATTACAACTGATTCAAATTTCATTTAAAGGTTCAATCTGCCAATTTGTTCCCTGTTGAGATTTATATGCACAGCATCCTGTTAGCAGCTGGCAGTCGTAGCGATTAATAGAGCAAAAGGGAACATGAAGAGATTACAAGGGCAAGACAAGCATATTGAAGGCACGAGACCCTGCTTAGAGGTTTCCGTCTTAGAAATACTGTGATTTATGCCTTTAACTGCTGCTCAATTCTCCACCTATGGCATCATGCTGAGCATGTCACCATGGTAACAAGTTTTACCTGAGGTCACTGTGATTGGCTAGAGTGCAGATTCCCAGCAGCTTTGTCACTTTACCAGCAGGACACTGTTGGAAGTATGTATCATGCACGCTGTTATTGGATGGAGACACAACTAGCCCTACTTTGTGAATTTGCACAAATATACACTGTTTGTACCCCAATTGAATTACAACCAACTAATAATTGTTCAACCTGCATGATTCAACCATTATATCCACTTGTATAGTATTCTTCCTCCCCTTCTGTGAACTAAAGGGAGTCACGGAGAAGCTGGTGATCTGATCTACTGTGACATTTTATCAGCTTTCTAGGGCTAAAGGGCAGATGGACCTCACAGTATGCGCTCGCTCACAGAGACACGTAAACACACAAAGTGCACCCAAAGGTCTGGATTTGATCCAAATCGCTTAAAATGGCTATCAAGGACACTGTGCATATGTTTTGTATTGGTTTCTGAGAGCTGAAATAATCTGTTAATTAATCAATTAGCTGATTATAGTCCGATTCATTGACATCCATTTTAAGAAGCCATTTGTCGTAATCTTGTTTCTAAACCAAATTAATTACATTCCCTGGATTGACTCTTTAAATGTGAAAATGTGCTGCTTTTCTTCAACCCCTTATAGTAAATGAAATTGCATTGTTTGTCATGCTTAAGATCCTGAAATAATAAAGCAAATTTGTAGTTATTGTCTGTACAAGTTGATAAGTAGGCTAGCTTTGATATAATCATTAAAATGGCAGAACTGCTATGAAAGCAAAATGATGCCTCGTGGTCATCTTTTAATGGTCTTATAGTAAAATAAATACATGTTTCTTCTCACACTGCACTCTATATTCTCCCCTGATGGCCAAACAAATGAATGAAGAGTCACCTGCTGCTAATGATTCACATCATGTTTTCGACAGCGACGTGGTCTTTGGGTTTTAAAGCATGACAGAAAGGACGCCTTTCGTATATTTACCGGTCAATATGTCACATTGTTAACGCCTGGTTACACATTGAGGGCGCGAGATGAGACGAGGGGGTGGGAGGGGGTAGTAATGGAGGCGCGTGCCCACATGAACCCCGGCGACCCTCCGTGCACGAGCCACCCTGTTGCTGGGCAGCGGCAGCATCTAGAGCTAATTTCTACGTTTCGCATCTCCACTTCTGTCAGTGGGAGGAATAGTGAGCCAGACAGGGAAGGGGCTGGTTGTGTCAGATTTTGGTTCCCACACTGATTGCCTCCGTGTCTCAAGGGATGGACAGTAACGAGAGGGAGAAAGGGGGTATAGTGTAACAGGCCCGGTTGTCTCGGGCTTTCCCTCAATGTCTGGAGGAATTCATCCTTTCAGAGCCGTAAAAAGGCCTCCTGTAGCCCGACCACGGTGCACCTAATCCCGCCTTTGTCTTGGCTGTACGCACCATGGAGAGTCGCAGCTGCACAACTGCTCTGTCAAATGTGTCTGCCCCCCCTGTCTTATCACCTCCAGACCTGCCTGCCTTCTTCATACATACCCCCCTAGACCCTGCTAGAGCTGATGACATTAAGAACAAATCAGTAGTATTGAATTGTTTCAGGAAGGAGATGCTATTCCCCTTCAGACTCAGGATGGACCTTAGATTGGCCGGAGCAAGGGTTCAAGTGTCTTTAATGTATACAACAGCTTGAGCAGCTAAGCATGACAGAAAATATGTGGGCAGAAAAAATATCAAATCACACAACAAGATTTTTCAGCACTGATCAATTATTGGTCTTTCGAATGCAATTGTAATCCAAAGGCAAAGGCTATACTGGCATAATAAATACTCAATTCCAATTGATTAACAATGCATTTGAAATATTAGAGATCATAGAAAAGACATTTCAAAACCAGCCTGTTAATTCCCACCTGCAATAGCCTATCTCTCACCAATAAAAAAAAGATTATTTAATATTTTACCATGCCCCTGTTTTAAATGCTGCCCCATGCCGCATTAATGGGTAATTGTCATTTTCCATATAATGCAGGAGTGATTTGAATCACGCACGGGCGAACACATGCACACACACACGCACAGGGTGGGACTCCGGTGCAGCGGACTTACCGTGAGCAGACAGCGGGATGATGACCATGGAGATGGTCAGAAGCACCTGCCAGGTGTCCAAACGACTGTCACTGCGCGCCATACTGCTGGCTCTGCCTTTGACACACTGACGCAAACTGTGATTCCGTTCCTCGGTGTGCCGGTCAGATCGGTGGGCTGTACCCTGTCCTTACAGCTGATCCTCTAAAGTTCAGATATTGCCCGTTTTCGTCATGTCGCCTTTAACCTCCACAACGTTTGGCCTCCCCCTCAGCTGTGTGCGCGTTTATCTCGGAACCAATTAACTGCTCGGGTTCGGTCCCATTTTACCGAGCAGTTGCCCTCTTCTCGGCACTTTTACCGCGCGCTTTGGGGTCCGTCTGCAGCACCGCGAGGAGCTGTGGTAGTGGGCTACTGCGCGCGACCGGCTTAGCGTCTGCAGACGGGATTTTAATGAGCCGGGTTTGACGCTGCCTGTCTGTCTGTATGCGATCCGTTAAGCCTTTCCCTTAGGCTGCATTGGCGATGAACGGCAAATCACGGCACGGCACGTTGTGCGCGCACAGCGCGTTTGGGTGTCAAAGTGCCAACACACACACACACACACACACACACACACACACACACACACACTGCTGCAGACTCTCTGCACGAAGGAGCCGCTTATCGGAGCAGAGACACACGTTCACTACGTGGAAAAA